ACGTTAAGCAAAGTATAGTCAAGTGGGACCTTGGTAGATTCGTCTCATAAAATACTTTTACAATATCAACTTTTTATAATTTTTACTCTTACACAATTATAGATATTTAGCATATAAAAGATGTTTCAGGATGCGTAATTTCCTCCTTGTTGCAATATTAACAGAACGGAGGAAGTATAAGTTTTGTAATTGGTTTAGTTGGTTAGTTACTTGATTTATAGATGTGGGAAGGTTAAGGGTTCAATTCCCCTTGTTTGCACATTTTTTTTAAATTTTTCATGTGGATTTCTTATACTCATATTTCTTTATGGATTTATTAATTGAAATACTTTATAACTTTGGCCCGGTCTATAAATAAATTATGGATCCGCTCTTGTCTGTTAGGGCTTTATTTTTAATTAAAGAGTAAAGTTTACCCCGTTGGGGTTTCGTTTTTTTAAAGGAAAAAAAAAAGTAGGAGGTGGTGTGGGTAGTAAAATGGAGGAGGTTAATCGTACTCTGACAACTTTACGTAAGACAGAGTTTGGTTTTGTGGGGTGATAGTGGAAAAGTTGACAGATAAGTGACTCTTATTGCCACTCTACAAAACCGCACATGAGATTTTCACCAAAATGCATATTGTCAAATGGAAGTATAGGATGGGAGAAATGACCCAAGGAAGGAGAATTTAAGGGATATAAGGATGAAATGGGGATGCTAGGTACCGAATTGGGAAAGCAAAAGGTGAGAATTTGGCTAATTTACAATCATGTGACCGAATGAGGGTGGTCATTTGGTACACATCGTAGAAATTTGTCAATGACAGAAATCCAACAAAGGATCATTTTTACAATATTTTTAGGTAAAATTGGTATAAATCATCTTTTTTTGTCCAACTTTTTTTTTAAAAAAACCACCTTTTATGTTTTTTTATTTATAAAATCACTTTTTAAGTACCTAAATTTTTTATTGCACCACCCCAATTTCAAATCTAACAGATTGCATCTCAACCATCTACTTCCAAATCATCAACCATAGCAAAACCTTCCCTTGCATCTCAACCATCACTTTTATTAGCTCAATTTAGGGTTTGAGAATAAACAAATACTACAATTTAATTTTTGTAGCAAAATTAGGTTTGGTTTTTTTAGAGCTTTACTCAATTTAGTCATGCATTTATATACAGGGAAGGGTCAAATGTTTTTGATGGTGAAAAAATACATGATTTAGGAGTGAAAGACACAAGTTGTGGGCCCCTTTGACGTCTCAGTTAATTTTTTCGTCAAAATTTGAAATAGGGGTGATGCAATCAAGAATTTAGGTACTTAAAAAGGTGGTTTAGTAAATAAAAAAAAACATAAAATGTGGTATTTTAAAAAAAAAAATTGGACAAAAAGGTGGTTTATACCAATTTTGCTTATTTTTTATTTTAATAGGTAGTTTCTTACAACATTTTTTTTTAAGGGAAAGCAGAGCTAATGCAATGACAAATTGTACGAGAGTACATGCGGGGAGATCATTACAGGACAATGATTCACCCAAATCTATTCAGTACCAAATGACATCAGCTTAGCAAGGTTATCGGCTACTAAGTTATCATCCCTTTTAACATGAGACCAAGTGAAAGACAAAAAAGCACTACTAATCGACAAGATATCCTCTAAAACTACATCAAAATCAGACAAATAAACTGAAGCTTTCGAGAGGCGGTTGATAAGAACTTGGCTATCCGATTCTAAAATGACATTCTCATAACCATATCGTCTAGCAAGTCTCACCGCTAAGAGGAGTGCTTTCCCTTCACGAATTCTACGAGTTGCAGCAAATAAAGCCTTCCCATCATGGTCTCGAGCTACCACACCCAAACCAGCCCAACCCTCGTCACACAAAGATGCATCTGAGTTGAGCTTTACAACCCCAACAGGGGTGGAATCCATTTGTTGCTGCTTTGCTTCGGTTTACTTGGCGCAACAGCATAGATTTTCTTGCTATATAGGTCGTGTTCTTCCATAGCTTTCCTGACTCTTGCAAGCAAAATCTCGTTAGGAGTGGTAGTGCCCGCAAAAATCCTATCATTACTCTCCTTCCAAATAACCCAAGCTAAAATTGCAGCCTTCCGCTTAGTTTTACCCCCTGCCAGACCTCACCTCACAAGTAGCTCACACATTGTTTCTTCACTCTGCGGCTTAGCACCAGTGCAGCAACGTCAGACCATAGCTCATGCACTCGCCTACACTCAAAGATGGCATGGATGGGCATCAGTTTCATCCTCCTCATCTCACCAAACAGATCTGGCAGAATCAATCAAATGACGGGCCTTCAACAACCCTTTTGATGGTAATGTGTTCGCGCACATCCTCCAAAGAAAGTGTCTAACTCTCGGTGATGCCTCTAATAACCCCCATAATTCAGCCCAAGCTTTGTGAAAAAGATCAAAATTGCACCCTTTACCCAGCATATAAGAAGTTTTGGTGGAGTACATACCATCGTTCGAGAAAGCCCATGTAATTACGTCCTTAGAAGCCTGCGCACCTAAAGGAATCGAAAGGATACACTTTGTGTCCCTTTCATTGAACACCGAAGAGATTAGCTCCTCCCTCCATTCCATTTTCGAAAAATCCACCAATTCATTCACATTATTCAAGCCCTCCACTACCGCACTTGTGATAAACATCCCATTTTCATCCGCAACCCAAGGATCTTTCCAAATGTTCACCGTAGACCCATTGCCAATTCGCCATATTAGTCCTTCCTTCAATAGTGCGTTCGCACTCCATATACTCCTCCATGAAAAACTGCCGGACACTCCCAAATAAGAGTCCAAGAAAGAACTATAGGGTAGTACTTCGCTTTCATGACTCAACCAAGGAGGGAATCTTCCTTATGCACAATTCGCCAAGCTTGTTTACCAAGCAACGCAATGTTGAACACCTCCAAGTCTTTGAAACCCATACCCCCTACACATTTTGGCGTGCACATCACCTCCCATGATTTCTAATGGATCTTCCTCCGGGAACCCGAACCCCAAAAAAATTTTCCCATAGCCGAACGAATGCTCTGAGTCACTGATGATGGAAATTTATATATCCCATTAAATATGCTGGGGTCGCCTGAATAACGGACTTCAAAAGGATTTCTTTCCCGACGTTTTATTTTAATAGGTAGTTTCTCACGACGTTTTTTTTTATTGGTACAAAAAATTAATCTAAATAGGTAGTTTTTGATATATTTTTTATTTTTAATTATTATTATGTTTAATTTTTATTTTTTTAGGAAAATTACCATCCTAAAAAACCCAACTAACTCATCAACTGTTTTATTTTTTTAACTAGGTTAGGTCCCGTGCAATAAAGCACGGTTGTTAAAGTTCCAATATATATCATATTATTATAAAATAAACTCTTGCTATATAGTTTTTGTACAATTAAGGCAATTTACGTTTTAGCCAATTTATATTTACCTTATTAAAAATTTACATTAAATAAATTTTAACCAAAAAAATAAAAAATCAAATCTAAAAGATACACCAGGAGATGACACGTGTCATTGCTGGTGTGTCTTTTAGTATATATTATTGATATATACATTTTTTTAAAAACTTTTTAGATACTCTTTTTAATATTATTTTAATATAGAAAAACAATTGCTAATTTTAAAATTGGTGATAAATATAGAAAATAAAAATTATATTGGAAAATTTGTCAATAATAAGCCAACCTTTGTCCGGTTAACTCAAAATAAGTCAACCTTTTGATTAACTAAAAATAACTCAACCTTTATAGGGTATCTTCTCAAAATAAGTCATGACCTGTTGAATTTTAAGATCACCGGTTGTTTGGGTTAATTATGCCACATGTCATTATGTAATTGGTCCTTTTATATAAAAAAAATTTGATTAACATTCAATTTTGATTAGTTATGTTAAAAAAACCTTTTGTTCAATTAACAATAATATCAAATAAAAAAATAAACTAAAAAACATTTCAGCCACTTACCCACTGCCAGCCTCACTCCCCACCATCTCCCTTGCCACCGGCCGCCGATCGGCGGTCACCCCCTCCCCTGGCCCACGCGACCAACCCCTACCCACGAACACACGTATCCCTCCCAGCCTTACATACCCGGTTACCCCTTTCCCGTTTCCCCAAACCCAAACTCAAACCCAAACCCCGACACCTACTCTTCTTTCGCTCTGTAGTTCACCAGAAATTCGCCGTACAAAATGTGGGTAATAGGCCTAATAGCTTAACATTTCTTCTGCCGATTTGTTTTCTGGTACAATTCCAATGGTTTCGAATTCTTTATTGCTTCAACGTGGTCAACGGTTGGTTTCGGGGTTGGTTTAAGGGTTTGGGGTGGAGAAGGGCAGAGGGGTCAACTCACGGTAGGGGAAGCGAGAAAGGGAAAAGAGGAAAGGGAAAAGGGAGGGATAGGTGTTTGGGTTTAGGTGGGGTGTTGACATGGATGGGGAAAGGGAGGGGATACAAGCACCATGCCGGCAAGGGGGGGGGGGGGGGGGGGGGGGAATCGCTGACGGTGGTAGAGGAGAGCTGGTGGAGATGGGGTTGCTGAGATTTTTTTTTATTTTTTAAATTATTGTAATTATTTACATTTAATAAAATAATAAGTTATTTTAATTGAAGAATGACTTGTTTAGTAGGTTTTAGGTCATTAGACCTATTAAAAGAAAATATCTCTGAAAGTCGATTTATTTTGAGTTTATTAAAAAGTTGACTTATTTTGAGTTAATCATGCAAAGGTTGACTTATTCTTGACAAATTTTCCAATTATATTTTATTTTCAGAATATTTTTTGTTTAATCATTAATTCACAATGTTTAAGCTAATAAAGATGATGACCCCGTAAAAAAAATGATGACCAGAAGCTTTCTAATTAGCGAATAAACCAGAACATCAGACCCCAACACACACATGAGCAAGCGAAACCAAACTCAAGGAGAAGAACATCCTCGAAAGTCGAAACATAGTGAAGAAACAATAATAGAGAAGGGTAGTAGAAAACCCAACTTGTGATCAATAAACTTAGTCAAGGTGGTACAAAAAATGTTTCAATTAAAATATGCAAGTGAATGGCATAATAAGAAAGATTAGCTAGTCAGCAGTATATCAAAGTGTCTTGTGTCTCCCTCTTTTTATTCTGTATAACTATCGCAATAGAAAGATCGATGTCTTGATACAACAAATACGTATTAAAACTACTGAAGATTATTCATTACAGAAATTTGCTCTAAGAATATGATGTTCCACTTTTATGCTATGTTTGGATAAGAAATTAGAAGGGAAATGGAAGGGAGGGAAATAGGAGGAAGGGGAAGGAAAGGAAAGTGGAGGAAATGATGAGCTCCATTTTCCCTCCAAATCTCTCTAATTTTGAAGGGATGGTCTTTATTAAAGGAGGAGGGAAAATGGATCCCTCCCTCCCCCTCCCCTTCCCTCCCCCAACATATTATCCAAACAAGGAACTTTGTCTCCCTTCCTTTCCCTTCCCTTTCTTTCCTTCCATTTTTTGTTATCCAAACACAGCCTTACGGTTTGTTTGGATAGCAAAGAAGGAAAGAAAAGAAGGGGAGGGAGAATGGAGGAAGGGAAGGGAAAAGAAAAGGAGGGGGAGGTGAGCTCCATTTTCCCTCCAAATCTCTCCAATTTTGGAGAGATTATGGTTGTTATAGAGAGAGGGAAAATAGATCCCTCCCTCTCCTTCCCCTTCATTCCCCCAATCTTTTACCCAAACAAGAGATTTTGTCCCCCTCCATTTCTCTTCTCTTCTTTTCATTCCATTTCTTCCTATCCAAACAAAGTGTTAAGGAAACAAAAGACCTGTCTTAAATTCCCTCTGGATGGCCTTGCATTTGTAGAAAACTTGCACATAAATACAAGTCGTCGCCTCATTTCCAATTTAGAAATCTCTGTCTCTTTAAAAGACTTCCCATCGTCAAAGGATCCTGTGTATCAAAGTACCAAGCAATAAGCTTTTTGACTGTATAAGCACGATAGTAATTCACTACTACTGAATTCAAAGACAAGCTATACAATATTTGACATGAGTTTTTTATATTGTATATGATAACTGATGTAAGCCAGAGAAAGAAGAGAAGAATGTACCGTCTTCAGTGAATAATGAGATTAAGATTGCTAGGCAAACACATACACTGATGTCTTCTCCTGAAAAATTTACACACAATAGTTAGTGTGCTTTCACAATTATCAACTAAATAGAAAAATTTTGATAGAGCAAATTTGTATAAGCCGGAAGAATACTGATTGAAACTCCCTAGTATGAAATGAATCCAATGGTATACTTAAACAAACATAGAGATAGACACTTTAGTGCATGATATATCTGATGGAAACCTCAAGTTATATGAGGATGAAGAATAGGTGTCAAATAATTTAAAGTTTGAAACAAGTTTTTTTGAAGGAGCTATGCATCATTTGAGTAGGGTCGATGTGCCTATGTGTTGTAACTCACTTCATATCAAAAGGTGAGACGTGAAAAATCATGTTTGAGTTGAAATAAAGATGACTTAGAGCGGCACAAAAAATACAAGCAGTGAGAACAAAAGTCCCTAGGTGATCATTTTCACAGGCAATAAGCAAAAAATTAAATATGTCGTTCTGTTATGCTGAAATAAATTTCAAAACTGAAGCAAATTCACTTACCATCAGGGCAACACACTAAAAGAGATTTTGCTTGGAGTAAGGTTGACCTAGCAAACTTCATTGCTGAAGGAAGATTATTTAACAGCGAAAATCGGTCCAACTTTGAGCTCTGATTAAAGAGGAAAAATGAGGAAAAAGAACAAAAAGAAAACTATTAGATATCAATCTAAATTCCAAAAAAAAAAAAAAAAAAAAGGCAGTTAGCATTTTCACTCAGTTCAATAGATGTTCCTTATAGAGTTTTAGCTCTTGTCCTACACAAGCCCACGTGAATATATTGTGGATTATTTTTACATAATTAACAAGTTTAGTTTTTTTCCTTCCAAGGTTACTGTCAATTCAATAGTTGCTAGATAATTTTTACATAATTACGTAAATAATGAGGTTAAATGGCTAGTGTAAGCCACCTAACACTAGACAAAATAATTAATAAGTCAAGTTTTTTTTCCTTCCAAGATCACACTTCAACCTATGCATTACACAAGGTTATACTGTCAATTCAATAGTTGCTAGATGGCAAACATGTTAGCCATTTAGAGTCTTTTAATTGATAACTAAGGAGAAACTTGGCACTCCAAATTTACACACTTATAACATATATATATATATATATATATATATATCTAAGATGAAATGATCAAGAAGACATACCACTATAGGCAGATGCAAATAAGCATATGAATGGTCAACATTGAGAAGCTCATTGCCACAATTCAGTATACTGTCAACATCTGGTTTAGTCGCAGCTGCCCACATAGATACACAATATAAAGCAGCACGTGAGAAACTGTAATGGCCTCATATTCGGCCTAGCCAAACCAAATATCCACTTCTAAGACAAACAAAGGAGAAAGGGGAACAGGTAAGCCAAGCTGGCGCAAGAAGACAATACAATTAATGACTGAGAATAAAGGAGGCAGCAGCAACTCAGCAAGTAATTGAGAGACATGAAGAGTGGTGCTTGGTAGAAAAAGACAAGATCAATTGAAACTAGCTAGACCTTTTTACAATCCTTGTATATACTTCATGTAGGAGAATGAGAGAGGCATGGGATTTGTATTGCGGAATGAGAGAGAATGGTAACCTCAAGTTACTAAGAGAGAGGTAACCTAAGGTTATCAAAGAGAGTGACCTCTTTTGCCATCATCAATCAAACATCAAGCTTTCATCTTTGTTTACTTGCCTTGTTTATTTCAAAATACAAAGCCAGAGAATCAGTCTATTACAGAAACTATGAGAGAGAACTGACTCCATGTCACAGAAACAGGGAAACTTGGCACAAAAAAGTGAATAAAGACATAATACTTTTTACCATATCCATTTCAAGTTTTAATATAAGTGTTGTTATGGAGATATGATAACACAACTCATAAAAACAAGTTAGTGATTATACTACAAACATTCTGAACTATGTTTACATTGTGGCTGGTGATGTGCAACAACATCGGTAACAAATGAAAGAAAGGAGAAATTATAATTGGTGATGTGCTACACAGCAGCTACAAATGAAATAAAGGTGAAAACTAGTGCAGGTGTCCAGTTTGTGTGTTGTATCAATGTTCTAATGATACTCTGGCGAACCTTTTTCCTCATAACAGTTTAGTACTAAAATTTAGAGAATAGTATTACTCTGGCAAGTACTCAATAGAATTCCTGCAACTTGGTCGTCTGAATGTTATTGGATCATGGATTGCAAATAAAAGCAAAGAAAATCAAGGAAAGCAAACTGCTCAGAATGAGCATAGCCGAGACAGTTATAGGAATATAGGGAAATGAACAAGGATATCTTAAAATTGACATGGAGAAGCAACAGACAACAAAACCAAGTCATGGAAGGCCTAAGACTATAGGGGGTTCAGTTATCTTGCGTTCTAGGTGATGTCAGACAGTTAGGCTTGATGGTAAACAAAGAACCAACCAAAACAAACAAAATAACAATAATAGTAATAATAATAGCAAACTAATAAATTACCAAGTTGAGTTGTGCTCACAGAGATATTTGTCAATCCTAGCCAACATATTGAAGAATCCCTTTTGGTGGAAGGACTTACGCCAACTTTTATACTTTCAAACTCTGAGTGCAATGGAAACTCGTGATGTCCATTGGTCTCTAAAGACTTTTGAGACTTCACCAAAATCTGAGGAGCGTCTTGTCCTCGTTGTGCCCGATATACTCTATCCTTTTCGACTATTTCAGAAACTTTCTTGTTACACAAATCAGGCCCGCAGTTTATGAGGTCATATACATGATTCCAGAAAAGGTCAGGAGTTAAACCCCTAGCCCAACTTTCTTCATCATCTCCTGCACCAGGAATATAGTTCCAACTGAACTCAGAGCTTGTCCTTTGTGGAAGAAAGCCATTCGAGGAGGATCCGGAAACAAGTATTAGAGGTGTGAAATCCCAGGAATCATGATCAGGGACTTCATTTAACCATATAACAGATTTTTGGGAGATCCATAAGGGGCGTAGAGGTTTTCTTAAGGATGCTGCAAGTGAAGCAATATCAGCACCACTCTCTTCCAACAGTGCAGTAAAGTCATCAAGGCGATTTTCAATAGAAGCCTTCTCTGTCTTAGGAACCCATAGAGGTAGATGCAAGTGACAATCCCAATCAGTTGAATTTTCTTTAGGCTTTTCTTCATTTGCAGCAGAGAAATTTTCATGTATCATGTTTTTGTACCGTTGAATAACACGATTTAATACACATGACCAAACAGGTATCGTCTTTGACATGCTATCAGGAAATCGCTTCCCTTTTCGAGTTGAATCAACAATTATACACCCACCTTTGTTCCCTAAACAATGATAGTAAAAAAATAAATAAATAAATAAACAAGTAATTCATTAATCCAAAAATTAAAGCTGAAAAAAAATCACACAGCATGAACACAAATGGACAAACAAAATTGCATCTCAATATCTCATATTCTCAAGTAAACTAGTAGGATCTTTCGGACTTTTAGTCACTTACTCACCTCCATTAAGTCTTCTACAAAGCATCGACAAATTTAGTTCCAAAACAGCAAGGCTCAAGAAGTAAAGGTCTTCAAATCCCATATACTGCAACGAATGCCGTGGATAGCGAGCACAACAAGGATTGGATCACCTATGAGCGCAGAAGGAAGAAAGGGCAGCAGCTGCAAGGCCCAGCAGAGGAGCCACCAAATCAACCAAGTTAAGGATTGCTGGCAGAGCCTCTTTAAGAATGACAGCTGCAACTTTTTGTCCTCTTTCTTTTTTTGGCTGATTGTGTACATATAAGTAAAAGGGGAGTGGGAGTGTGCTAGGTAGCTGGTGATTGGTAAACTTAGAGTGTAGAGCATTGTGCCCTAAAGGTGCTAGTAGAGAGTCGTGGCCTCAAGCCACCTTGTTTGTAAGATTCAATCTTATTCAATGAAATAGCTGCCTTCTTCCCTAAAAATATTATCCTTTTTGCTTTCAAGTTCCATTAATACAGCAAAGTATAAGTAGAGCGTTACAAGTGGTATCAGAGCAGGCGGTCCTGCGACCTCCGACACCGGCAACCACCGCCTTCCGGGTTTAGCCTAAATATATATATATATATATATATATATATATATATATATATATATATTTAAATTAAAAATGGTGACTTCTGCAACTCAGAGATGCGAAGCTCTGGAAGACCAAATGGCGGGGGTTCGAACCCAACTGGAGACCGTGGAGACGGCAATGAAGACTCAGGAGGAGGTTCTCAAGAAGTCGATGGAGGAGGCTGTTCAGCGACTCGATAATCGATTCGAGTTGTTCCGGCAACAGCAAGAAGCCCAGATGACGGTGAATACCACCACTCAAGCTCAGTTGCGAACCCTGGTGAATCAAAGAAATCATGAACAAGGGCAGGGTGGCAACTTCATGATGCGCAACTGGAATGAGATGGAGGAGGCTGTTCAGCGACTCGATAATCGATTCGAGTTGTTCCGGCAACAGCAAGAAGCCCAGATGACGGTGAATACCACCACTCAAGCTCAGTTGCGAACCCTGGTGAATCAAAGAAATCATGAACAAGGGCAGGGTGGCAACTTCATGATGCGCAACTGGAATGAGACGCATGGCGGCGGCGACAACCGGTGGAAGCTAGACATGCCGCTCTTTGAAGGTGTAGACCCCGACGGATGGATACTTAAGGGGGAGAAGTACTTCCAACACTACAACCTCACGGAGGAACAGAAGTTGCAAGTCGCCGTCTCCGCTTTAGAGGGTGATGCTCTGAGGTGGTTTCAATGGGAAAACCGAAGGCGACCTATTCCGAACTGGGATAGCTTAAAAGCGAGGCTCTTGCGACAATTCCGACCGACTCATGCCGGAAGTCTCCATGAGCAGTGGTTGGCTGCAAGCCAAGAAACCACCGTGTTAGAGTATCGTAAGCGATTTATTGAGCTCTCAGCGCCGTTGGAAGATATACCCGAGACTATTATGTTGGGCCATTTTATAAATGGGCTCAAGGATGAAATTAAGGCTGATGTCAGGCTAATGAACCCCTTCAACTTAGAACAGGCCATGGAAATTGCGGGTAGGGTTGAAGAGAGGAATCGGGTAGGCGGGCATAAGAAGGCACCCAACTATTTCGGGTCGGGTAAACCAATTGCAAGTGGATCTGGGGTGCCTGGACCTAAATCCGCAACTGGATCGGGCCTCATTAGTGCGTACGGAACTCCAACACAGCAGGCCTCTTCATTCAAAGGGTGGCCCAGTGCCCCATCTGAATCCCAAGCCTCGGTAAACTTTCCGAAGACCACCAGCACCGTCTCAGCCAGATCTAATGAGCCGCGGCGGCTGACTGACGCTGAGCACCAAGAAAGAAAGGCGAAAGGGCTGTGCTTTCGCTGTGATGAGCGCTGGAGTGTCGGCCATAGGTGTAAGAATAGAGAGATGAGTGTCTTGTTGCTCGGCGGTGGAGGCGATGAAGGCGTTGGACCTTCAAAAACGCCGGAAGCCGACTCCAGCGAAGACGAGATAGCACCAGGGGCGTCTCTTTGCTCCGTGGTGGGGCTTTCTACGCCGCGGACCATGAAACTCGAAGGAAGGGTGGGACCAACCCCGGTGGTAATATTGGTCGACCCGGGGGCAACCCATAATTTTATCTCCGATGACTTGGTGGTAGAAGCAGGGGTGCCGGTGGAGGGCGACCGTGAGTTCAGCGTTTCTCTGGGAAACGGCGACATTGTGGGAAGGGGCAGGTGTAAAGGGGTGAGGGTCGTTCTTAAGGAGGGGTTTGTGATAGTGGATAACTTCCTCCCACTCCAACTCGGCAACGCCGACTTGATCTTAGGGATCGAGTGGCTGGAGAAACTAGGACCCGTGGTTCACAATTGGAAGACACACCTCATGAGCTTTCGAGTGGGTGACGTGAAGGTCACATTGAGGGGCAATCCTGCCTTGGAGCGCACCAAGATCACTCTCAAGGCAATGCTCCGCACATTGCGCCACGAAGGTGGAGGGTTATGGATGGAAATTAACCACGTGGAGGCGGTGGGAAAAAGGGCAGAAGTAGAAACCGTCGTGCCAGGGTGGTTAGCGAGCATTCTAGAGCAGTTTCAAGGGGTTTTTTCACCACCAAAGGGACTACCACCGAAGCGGGAGCACGAACATGCTATTGTGTTGAGGGAGGGGAGCAATCCGGTAAGCGTAAGGCCATACCGATACCCCCAGTTCCAGAAAGATGAAATTGAGAGATTGATCAAGGAGATGCTTGAAGCGGGTATCATCGAGCCGTCGGTCAGCCCATTTTCTAGCCCGGTTTTGTTGGTCAAGAAGAAGGACGGGTCTTGGAGGTTCTGCGTGGACTATCGGGCCTTGAATCGGGAAACAATTCCTGATAAATATCCTATCCCAATCATCGACGAATTACTCGACGAACTCCACGAGGCAGCAATATTCTCTAAACTCGACCTTTAGTCGGGTTATCATCAGATTTTGGTACGAGAAGAGGACACGCACAAAACAGCCTTTCGTACCCACGAAGGCCATTATGAATTTTTGGTCATGCCCTTTGGCCTCACGAACGCACCGGCCACCTTCCAAGACCTCATGAACGAGGTGTTCCGACCGTTCTTGAGAAAGTTTGTGCTAGTGTTCTTCGATGACATACTCATCTATAGCCCGGATAGAGAGAGTCACTTGGAACACCTGAGAGTAGTGCTGTCCAAATTACAAGAACATTGCTTGGTGGCTAATTTCAAGAAATGCGAGTTTGGTCAGTCTAGGGTGGCGTATTTGGGGCATGTGGTGTCGCAAGAAGGGGTGGCAGTGGACTCGAAGAAGGTGAAGGCTATGGTGGAATGGCCAATTCCACAAAATTTGAAGGAGTTGCGTGGGTTTCTTGGATTGACCGGCTATTACCGGAAGTTTATTAAGGGATACGCTCAAATTGCAAGACCACTAACAGAGCAGCTGCGTAAAGACAATTTTGGGTGGTCATCGGAGGCTACGGCCGCCTTTGAACGGTTGAAGGGAGCAATGACTTCAGCCCCTGTTTTGGTGATGCCAAATTTCAGCAAGAAATTTGTAATTGAAGCAGATGCATCGGGTTATGGGTTGGGGGCTGTCTTAATGCAAGAATCGAGGCCAATAGCTTTCTTTAGCAAGTTACTAGGCCCGAGGTCGCAAGCAAAGGCTATATATGAGAAGGAGTTGATGGCGATTTGCTTGGTCGTGGGTAAGTGGCGACATTATTTACTTGGGCGCCACTTTGTGGTGAGAACGGACCAACAGAGTTTAAAGTATGTGATGGAGCAAAGGGAAGTGAATGGGGAGTACCAAAAATGGGTCCGGAAATTGTTGGGTTTCGATTTCGAGATCCAATTCAAACCGGGTGCGAGTAATAGAGCGGCGGATGCTCTGTCCCGCAAAGGTGGGAGTGTTGGAGAGCTGGCAGCCTTGGTTTCAGTTTCAAGGATTGATTGGGAAGGGCTAGAGAGGGAGGTGAGAGCTGATAAAGACCTCGGCAAAATCATGGGAGACTTGGCAGCAGGGCAGGAGGCTCGTGATGGGTTCACACTCGAAGAAGATAAGCTACTCTTTAAGGGAAGAGTGGTAATTCCGAGAGAGTCACCATTAATTTCTAAGCTTTTGATCGAATACCACGATAGTCCGGTGGGGGGACACCAAGGTGAAACAAAGACTTACCTAAGATTGGCTGCCGAATGGTATTGGTTTGGGATGCGTAAAGATGTGGGAATGTATGTGAAGCAATGTGCTACTTGCCAACAAGCCAAACACTCCCAATTGCAACCGGCGGGATTGTTACAACCCTTACCGATTCCCGAGAATATTTGGGAGGATATCTCAATGGACTTTGTAGAAGGGCTGCCCAATTCTAAGGGGATAAACTCGGTGTTAGTGGTAGTTGATAGGTTGTCCAAGTATGCGCACTTCATGGGGTTGAAGCATCCATATAGTGCCTTAACCATCGCAGAGACGTTCACTAAGGAAGTTGTTAGGCTACATGGGATGCCTACCTCAATTGTGTCGGATAGGGATCGAATCTTCATGAGTGTGTTCTGGAAAGAGTTGTTTAGGTTGCAAGGAACGGATCTCAAGAGGAGTACCGCATATCACCCTCAAACCGACGGCCAAACCGAGGTTGTCAACAAAACCTTGGAAACATACCTACGTTGCTTCATCAACGGTAAGCCTAAGTCGTGGAGTAAGTGGCTGCATTGGGCGGAATATGCCTACAACATAGCCTATCATGCTTCTACTGGGTTTACACCCTTTAGAGTAGTGTATGGGAGGGATCCGCCCAGACTAATCAAGGTGGGGAAGGGACAAACGCCTGTGGATAGGCTGGAGGAGTGGCTGCAGGAGAGAGATTGGGTTTTGGATGACTTGCACATGAATTTGGTTCGGGCACAACAAAGAATGAAGCACAATGCAGATTTGCGAAGGAGGGAGGAGGAATTTCGGGTAGGGGACTTTGTCTACCTGAAATTGCAACCTTACCGACAAAAATCATTAGCAAGGAGGCCAAATGAGAAGCTAGCCCCTCGTTTATATGGTCCCTTCAAGGTGCTCCAACGCATTGGTCAAGTGGCTTACAAGCTGGAGCTGCCAGCAACTTGCAAGATCCACCCCGTGTTCCATGTCTCTCAGCTTAAGCGCGCAGTAGGAGACCAAACAGCAAACCCCACCATACCCACCCAACTGACTGAAGAGCTGGAACTCAGAGCAGAACCTGAGAGTGTGCTGGATATAAGGGCTGCTAAGACCAACCCAGACATCTTGGAGGTCTTAATTAAGTGGCAAGGACTGCCCCTTATTGAGGCAACTTGGGAAGTGGCTGCCATCATACAAGAGAGATTTCCATCCTTTCACCTTGAGGACAAGGTGACTCTTGTAGGGGGGGAAGATGCAACGAATGCCGTGGATAGCGAGCACAACAAGGATTGGATCACCTATGAGCGCAGAAGGAAGAAAGGGCAGCAGCTGCAAGACCCAGCAGAGGAGCCACCAAATCAACCAAGTTAAGGATTGCTGGCAGAGCCTCTTTAAGAATGACAGCTGCAACTTTTTGTCCTCTTTCTTTTTTTGGCTGATTGTGTACATATAAGTAAAAGGGGAGTGGGAGTGTGCTAGGTAGCTGGTGATTGGTAAACTTAGAGTGTAGAGCATTGTGCCCTAAAGGTGCTAGTAGAGAGTCGTGGCCTCAAGCCACCTTGTTTGTAAGATTCAATCTTTATTCAATGAAATAGCTGCCTTCTTCCCTAAAAATATTATCCTTTTTGCTTTCAAGTTCCATTAATACAGCAAAGTATAAGTAGAGCGTTACAAGTGGTATCAGAGCAGGCGGTCCTGCGACCTCCGACACCGGCAACCACCGCCTTCCGGGTTTAGCCTAAAATATATATATATATATATATATATATATATATATATATATATATATATATATTAAAAATGGTGACTTCTGCAACTCAGAGATGCGAAGCTCTGGAAGACCAAATGGCGGGGGTTCGAAGTACAAAATCAAAGAATCAATTACTAATTAACAAAAATTAGATATATACCAGCGAGCAGGGCGAGGTGGAGATTGAGGCGGGAGGTATTGAAAGAGCAATTGTTGGAGTGACCATCAGTGGATTTGAAGTAACAAGTGCCGCCATTGAATTGAGGCGAATACCATAAACCGCAACGAAGGTTAGCAACAAGTGGAAGACGAGGCCATAGTTGAGAAATCTCTCCGACAAAAATGGAGTCATGGTAGATTGAGAGTAAGGCATTATACAAAGTATTGTCTCTCTTTTTTATGCTTCTTGATGCTTTGTATATGCTCTGTCTCAATGTTTCCTCTTCTATTTCCATTGATAATAATATGTAGTTTCTTCTTCTAGTTTTATTGTTGGGAAGATTTATGTCTTTAATTAGGTTTTCAATATAATACTCCCTTTATTTTTAATTGTTTACTCCCTCTGTCCCCGATTGATAATCACTTTTGAAGAAAAATCACGGGAATTAAGGAGAATTAAAGTAGATTGAAAAAGAAAATTTACCTTGGATATGCAAAAAAAAGTAGAGAGAGAAGGTAATTTTTGCAAATGTTAGAGAGTTTTGATAAAAAAAATAATATCAATGGTACTTGAAAAAAGCAAATGTGACTAACATTTTGAGTCACCAAAAATGTCAAAAGTGACTATTAATCGGGGACGTATTAAATTTTGAGATAAATTTTTAATATGTAAATTATGTAGTAGACATGTAAATGAGTAATAATAATATTGGTAATTTTTATAAAGTTATAATCTATTATTTTTTTTTTTAATAAAATTATAATTTAATTTATACTTATGAAATATATTGATATTTTATCAAAAATAAAACTCTCAATTAACAACTTTATCCTAAAATTCTATCCAAATTTGATTGAAAATAGAATTTTAAACTAAATTCTTTTTTTTCAATGAAATCAATTAAAATATATCCAACTTTAACTCTCCACAAGTAAAAACTACAAAAGTTGTATTTTAAAATAGTATTTACTGAGACGAATTTAAAAAGATGTCACCCATATATATTTTTCCTTACATATCATTCATACAAGACGGTCAGGGGTGGTGATTAATATTAATGTCAAAGCGGGTTAAGTAAAAATGAATAGAGGAAGTAGTATTTGAGGAGCTTTTAAAAACATATATAGTCACGATGATGTATAGTACTACCTTCGTTACATATGCAAATAATATGTAACGGAGATAGTATTTAAATACACAACACTCAACCAAACAATTCTTAAAAACGACATCAATCCTGAAAAAATAGACATATCACACTAGCATCAGGATTACAAAGTATATTGTTCCTTGAACTTATTTCGTACATCTTTATTCTTCAATTTTTGATAGCGTTTCCGGTACTCCGAATAGCCCCGGATTTAGCCACGGAAGCTGGATTTATAGCTCTCCTAATCTTGAGTATGTTCCAAGCCGTCCCAGCGCAATGTCCAGCGGTTGCAAGGGCATCATCTGTGGCTTGCCCTGCATTTTCTCCATACCTAAGATGATAAAATGATCGCATTTTGTGAATTTAGTTAAACACAACAATAATTAAAGTAAGATTTTCTCGATTAAAATATGTCTTTTATTTTCTAAAGATAAGTATTTTTTTACGTCACAATAACAGTAATAATAAGGTGATAAAGTGATCGTTAAAAACCTGTTGGAAACCATCCTAACCGCAGCCCCGGAGGTGGCTTGGAGAGCTTGTTGCTCAGCAGCTTCCGCAGCACACATTATCTTATCTGTGCAATCAAATTTGACAATTACATTAAATATACTTTCATTCACACATTAATCTACAACTTACTCTACACCAAACAATCAACACACCAACAGTAACACGTAATATAACAACTACTTTTACCGCACAATCTTAAATAAATCTAACCTAGCTCATTGATATACTAGTAAATCCTAAACCTTATACTAGGCATATAATTGTGATATTAAAATAACATACCAACAGCATCAAGAGAAGCTAGGAGAACTTCTCCAGGCATCATAGAGAAAAATGCTCTGCCTTGTTTGGAATTAACCAAGGGCCCCATCACTGATCCAGTGGCTATCCCAACTCCATTTAGCATAGTTTTGCTCATTTGTTGTGTTGCATTTGACAAATTTCTTGCACTAATTATGCAACCATCCAAACACGGTACAAAGTTAATTAAGGATAAGCATAGTATTGATGCTACTTCTTTTTAATTAGTCACTAGGAAATAAAATCTAACTATTATAGCACAAGATTTACCGCTTTATGCTTTGATTCATGGCATTGTTTTTTGCAGCAGTATTGTTGTTGCTTTTAGTCTTTGCAAGTGTGGCTCTCCCATTCTTGTTCTCTTGGCTAAGAATCATATTCCCTTCACTTTGCACCTTAGTAAAAGCGTATCGAGCTTTTTATTTACCATACATGCTTGGTAGTTTCACAATTTAAATTTTAAAATAAAACTTGTTATTATGATAACATTGTGCGTTATTCATTACTTTTTAAAGGTCCGATCCGCCCAATATCATACATAATTCCTACCATTATCCCCTTGCCCGACCCCCGACCCCCTCTTTTTTTTTTTTTTTTTTTTTTTTGCTTAAATGAGGACTTAATATAATTTGAGTTTGCTATTTGGTTACTACTAAAGTCCCATGACCTTGATGTACTCCGTAACATTTTTATCGGCATTATAGCCGTAAAAAAAAAAAAAAAAAAACAAAAAAACAAAAAAAAGGGTAAAAAAGAAAAAAAATAAAACGGAAAAAAAGAAATAAAAAAGACACCAATGTTTTTAGTTGCTTTCTCAGTTAGCTTACATAACCCAAATGAAACTCAAATGATTGATCAAACACTATAGAATTGAACTAGTATAATCTAGACGTGACCTAATAAACAATTAAACAATATGGTTGGAACTAAAGAACAACATATATATCTAAGCAATATACTATCATACCTGGTTGGTGTAAGCATTGCTACACATAAAAATGCCCTTAACAATTTGGCCAGTTCCTCCAGCAATTGCCCTAGCCAATACACCATTATAAGCTTCAACCTTAGGGGCAAACTCCTTCCAATCAAGATCATTATTATTTCTCCCTTTCGTCGTGGATGAGCAAGAAAAACAAGAATGTTCTCTAAGGAAAGAATCCAAGGACCCTAACAAATTTTTGTCACATCGGTCTGAGAAACTCACCCCATAATTCAAAGGATCACCTCCTTTCATGGGCAACGTAAAAAGATAGTGAAAAGCATCAAGCTTAACCACGGGCTCATCTTTCGTGAGTGGCCATTGTAGGTTATTCGCGACCTTGATGATGGTTGCAAGGGGTATATTTTGGTCAGAAAGGATGTATATAGAGAAATCTCCTCGTCCTAGCTCTATGGTTTGTCCTTCTTCCATCAAGTTGACTATACATCCTGGTATACGGAGCAAAAGCTCGTGCTTGATTGTGTTGGTTTCGATTTTTATTTGGTTAGATGACCGCGATTTTGATGAAAAAGGACTAAAAGACATCATAGTTTTAATTTGTTAAGGTTTTGGGTATGTAGGAAGAACTAAGGAGTACTAGCTAAGGTACATGCATATACTAGTATGTATATGTAGTAAAGCTAAGGCCAAATTAATTAAGGGAGACAATAAAGGGTAGGAAAGAAAAATGTGTGTGTGAATAAGATTAGAAGATCATAAGTATATATTCTGTTGGATCAAGTAGAGCATAGCTTTACTAAAAGAGAGGATAAGGGAATTTGATTATAAATAGTGGTACGTACTATATGTTGCAAAAGCTAGTAATAAGGAATATATTTGGTAAGCTAGGAACACCTTTATTTAGGTACTTGCTAGTTTGGAATAGTTTGGCTTTCATGCGTTGGGCTAGATGAAACCTACTTATCATTCATATTTGTTTCATACTTATGTGATGGGGGATTGATTCATTTCCCATAAGACACAAATTGTTGTGCCAACAAAGTCATCCGATCTGATCTCTCACATTGTTCTGTTGATTAATATGTCATTACATACTTGTCTCTTGAATTATTATATTAGTACAACAATGGTTAGTTAGTAGTTACTTATAAATTGATGGGATCGTGTAGTGAAAACTGTGGTTTATTATTATTATTATTATTATTATTGAGAACATGAAAAGTGTGGTTTATTAGTTGAATTAAGGCACACCATTGCATTGGACATACCACACACATACTTGATCAATATTATTAGTCAAATGAGATCCTTAAATAGGAAGAGCATAATTATTCATAAATCTATATTATTAAAATACAAAGACCAGAATAGACATGATTTATAATAACTTATTGTAGACCCAACCTTCTTGTGTACCATACGAATGTGATTATATCATACGAGATGTGATTATATTACTACAAAAGTGATTATATCATTTTGAAACTGTTATATAAATGTATAACTCAAAAAGTGAATTTATCAATATAAAAAGTATCAAATAGTAAATTACATCATTTCAAAACATGATTTTTAAATTTTATCATCCTAAAGATAATTATATAATCTCATTAAATGGTTTAATATGAGATTATATAATTCAAAATATGACTCATAAAAAGATAATTATATTATCTAAAAAAGTGATTATATCATCCAGAATGTGATTATATTATTTGAAAATGTCAAATTTTGGGTCTACAATAATTTATTGTAGACCGGGTCCATACAAGACCCTTTGTTATTAAAAAGTAATTTGGACTTGGATTATGTAGATATAATGTATAGATTAAATTAATTGCTATCAAAATCTAAAGTGTAAATTCGGAATATTTTAGTTAAACCACACTTTATCTTAAATAGTAACACTTTGATTTAAGACAATTAGTATTATGTACTCCTGGAGTACTATGGATCATGGTACTCCTTACACAATATATTTGAGTTATTTTGCATACAGTTATTTTGTTTAAATGTTGTGTTATTTTCTTACAACAATATATTATTTACTTATTTATTACTTCAACCCAACTCATGCTATTTTTAATTTACATTTAATTAACAAATAACATATATATAAATTGAAATAATAATAAATTCACATCAAAATAACATTAGTAGTGTTGAGTTTTAAGGCATCTTGAAGAGAATCAAACATTTTAGAAGATATTAAATTTCTGGACATAAACACATTTATACCCTTAGAATTATCTTCAAATCAATTGATTTCTAAGAAACACAGAAGATTAGAAGAAGAAAAGGGAGAGAAAAAGTGCGTTAGATTTGGAGTTGGAGTAGTGAGAGGAAGAGAGTGAGGTTGATTCCTAGAAACCCAGAAAATTGGAAAAAGAAAGGAGGGAGAAAGTGTATGATTTTGAATTGGAGTAACCGAGAGGAAGAGAGAGTGAGTGCGGGAGGAACATGATTGAGAAAAATGGCGAAATAACATACATGTATTTAAAAATAACAAATATATAATTTGAAGTAACAAAGAGTTAACATCAAAATAACATGAGTTTTATAAAACTTGGAGTACCGTGTGCATGGTACTCCAGGACTACGCTAGAAATTGCGGATTTAAGATAAAAATAAAAAAATAAAAATAGTAACACTTTGATTTAATGGGTAGGAGGTTAGCCTCTTTTTCCATTTTGTCAAAATAAAAAATAAAAATAAAAATTGTTGAGCTAACCCAAAAAGTCACAAGGCAAAAGCCTAATTCAGGATTTGTTTGTTATCGTCGTGGTTTTCTGTTTTCTGTTTTTTAGTTTTTTGTTTTTCTATTATGACATACGAACCCTAATTTAGGGTATTATTGTCCTATAATGTATCAAAAACTAGTTAAATTTATTAAAATTATGATAGTTTTGAAAACTAAAAACAAAAATGTGAATATATATATATATTAATTTTTTTTTTTAAAAAGAATTGCCCAAACAAGGCCTCAAGCTTTTCAGTTTTCACTAATTTTACATTAAAATTCATAAAGACCAAATTGCCACTTTTTTTTTTTTTTTTGTAATTCCGATATCTGCCAAATTTCCTTTTGTTTGTCTCTCCTCTCTGTTTTCACCGAACAACAACCTTAACCAGTGGCCGGTCACCATCTTCTCCTGCGCCGCTGTGATAACCGGCAACCTCCAGTTGCCCGCATTTTTCACCGGCTACAATGCTCCGTTTTTTCATGGCATTAGTACAATTTTAGCTATGAACAACACTGTGCTGCTTCTTCAGTAACGCCCCAAAACTACCATCTAAATTTGGAGGGGGTAAATTTTTTTCCCCATTTTTAAATCTTCAAATTTTGGGAATTTTATGTTGTATTTAGGGTTTGTAAATCTGAGTTCTAATTTGTCTATCTGAAATTTAATTAAGTATTTGTTGAATTTTGATTTTCTTGGGTTTTTGTTGTGATTGTTATTGTGATTGTTGTTTTGGGAACATAAAAAATATGTCTAATTAATCTTGATTATGAGATTATCTTGGTAGTTCTAGAAAATTATGTAGATTTTTTAAGAACAAGTAAAAAAAAAAAAAAAAAAAAAATGGTTCCACTGTCATATAATGTAAGTGACTTTGATAGAAATTGGCCTTTTGTTATGGAATTTCTTATTGGATGCCTCCATTAGGAACCGTAACTGCGTCGCGTAACAATGGTGAACCTTCATGGTGTTGGATACCTTTAGGGAAATTTGATTTTATAAAAAGAAACTAGTTCCTTAATGTTGGTTGTTATTGGGAGATTTAGCAAGATGAAGGCTGAACTTATGAATAGTGATGTAATGTCACCATTTTCTTTGGAAGTTGTAAGTGATTGGGAATTTTGGTCGACAACTCAATGCTTTGTTTGAGGTTCTGCGGTCCTCAATGTGATATGGACTTCCAGTGGGGGAAGGAGGGAGGGGTGTTATAATTTTTGGTACAAGTTCTATCAGGCATCCGGATTGGTTTTGGGTGGAAAAAAAGTTTTTGTTTAGTGTTGACATTGCCGTAGATATTGGAAATCATTGTTAACTGAAAAGTGGCAAATTGGCGATAGAGAACTATTCTAGAATGTGTTTTTTAACCGTACCATCTAGTTTAAGACATAATAGACCTATAGAAGATTAGAAGCAATCTTAATTGCCTTATCTTGCTGGTAAAAACCTAGTTTTGTGTTGTAACTTTGATGTATTTGTATGCTACTAATATTGCTTCATGAGATACAAGGAGGACTTGGTAAATTTTGGACTTCATGATACTTATCCCACAAGTATAGAGATATGGTTTTGTGGCATTTTTTTTTGGAAAAACTATTTGAAAAACAAGTACTTTTTTTTGATAGAAATTAAATGCATAGTGCTTCTTTTCTGGCAAAATTAGCTAGTTTGATCAAGCCCTTTCCAGTCCTGTGGGTTTTTTTAGAAGGACAAATAACATGCTACCAGTGCACTCATGTAAATGCTGACACCATTGCAGGAAGGGAGAAATAGCTGACTAGGCAAGCAACTTATTGCTGAAAAATGGTCAAAGTGTAAAGATTGAAAAGGTATGGTCGGAGTAATTTTTTTTTTTGGGAAAAATTGTCCGGAATAATCCCACCTTTGAGCCATCCGCCCAAAATAATCCCACCTTTGGATTATTTTTAATTATCCGACCTTTATTGTCAATCTGCTCCTAATGGTCCCAATTAACCTGTGTAACCGGGATAGGTAAATTTTTTTTTAATTAAGTTTAATTTACAAGTGTCATCACGTGATTGGTAAAAAATATGTTTTATTTTAATTTTGTTTTAAGAAATGATTGTTAGTAATTAACATTAGTTAATTATTTTTAATTTCTTTTTCAAAAAAAAAACCCTAAAATTTAAACCAAACCCTAGCCCCATCACGACCCCAGCTACCTCCCTGACTGCCCCTAGCGTCGGCCTAGACGAGGCTCAGAGCCACTAGCTTCCCCGCGCGTGGTTCACCGACCTCCCCTCTACCCCTTTCCGTCGCCACTAAACCACCACAACCAATCAACCGTTACCGAAATCAAGGTTGAGGCTAGGTGGGAGGACTGGGTCAATGGCTTTAATACGGTCGCCGGTAGGGAGATAGGTTAGGGTTTCGTGGGGCAAGGGGTTGGGGGCTGGGCGTGGGATCTCATTGGCAGGGGTAAGGGGTTTGTGTGCTAGTTGGAGTCGGGGTCAGGGCTCGTTGGCAGGGGTTGGTGGCTGGTTGGGGTGGGAACTGGTGGTGAATCGAGGGTTTGGATTTGACGAGGCTGGTTGGTGGTTCTGGGGGAGGAGTGTTAGGCTGGCGTGGGCGGAGTCGGAATTGGCGCCGGAGTTAGCATCAGAGTCGACTTCGGGTGGTCGGGGCAGGGATTCAAGTGGCGGTGGGGTGGCTTGGCAGCTAGTGGGGTGGCTTTAAAATAATTAATTGTTTTTTTTAAAATTTTTTCTTTACAAAAAAAAAAAATTTAACTTTTTTGTTTAAATTTTTATTTCACATTTATTTTTTGGACCAAATCACAGGCCGCCACGTGTCAGGTAACCTATTATAACAAGTTACATGACCGGTTGGGACCATTAGGAGCGGATTGACTATAAAGGTCGGATTATTTAAAAATAATCCAAAGGTGGGATTATTTTGGGCGGATGGCTCAAAAGTGAGATTATTCCGGACAATTTTTCCTTTTTTTTTTTGGAATATCAGAACTTCAGACGGATGTAAAGTTGTAATAGAACATTGGATCTTGATGATTTCAAGATTGCTCATATTTCAGATATTTAAGTGAATTCTGCTTGTATTTGATGGTCTTACAGGGGGTGTACCATAGAACAATATGGAGGATCCTCCTCCTGTTAATAGCCCAAGAAGAGTTCTCAGCCTGTTGAGGAAAAGGAAAGGTGTTGGCTCCTCCCTGAATGTTGATAATAAGGCTTCTGGATTGGGTGTATCTGGTCAGCATGGTCCAAAACCAGCTGAAGTATATGGCTTTGTGGGTTCTATAACAACTATTGTTGCAACAGGTATATTTGATATTCATGTCATTTTCTCGTGGAGTATTTTGTTTGTGCTTTGATTGGGTTTTATGGTATAAATAAATCTGCTTAGATCTGCATATGTTGTACTTTTTTTTATTTCATTCACTTACAGAACTTTTGTTACATTTGTTGAACAGCTATATTCTTCATATGGGCATATGTTCCTGAGCACTGGTTGCATTCTATTGGGATCTTCTACTATCCTAGCAGGTGAGCTGTGCACTTCTTGTACTTTGACTCTAAAAGCATTTAATCTATAAGAGCAGCCTCTACTGTTTATCAAGCAATGTCTCCCTGGCTTGCAAGTCTACACTTTCTAGGGGTGAGGAGGGAAGCGGGCGGGTGGGGGAGGGGGGGGGGGGAGGGGATTCATCTTCTTATTGGAAACTGAAACAATTAAACAGAGGCATAACTGGTCACAGAGGAGTTGCAACCTTACAAAAAAATTGATTTTTTGACACTGAAGGATGCAGATCATTGTAAAAATTCCCATTGCCTTGGTGCATCAAGCCTCAGGCATTGTATAACAAATACTGTGCTGGCCAGCAGGTTAAAAATCTTCTTTCACTGCTTCTTGACTTTGTCGGTTACACTTTAATTATGCTATTGAACTTGCTCCCCATGCATTGGTGCTTGGTCATTTGGAGTTCTAGACTTCTAGTGCTATCCTTTTTGGGATTTTTGCCCTGATTTTATGTTCAACTACTGTTGTTTGTCAACCTATTTGGCAATATGATGATGATTTAGTTTGTTTCTCATTCTAGGTACTGGGCTGTAGCTGTACCAACTTATTGTATGGTCATAATAGTCTTGGGACTGGCATTTTATATAGGCCTTAACTTTATGGCAACTCCTTCTCCAACCTCTTTAAATGTGATTTATGGTAAGCTAATTCTGGAACCTCAATATCTTGAATGTTTTCCTTACACTTGCATTGTTGAGAACTTGAGATCAGACATGACTTTTAGTGCTGTTTTGCATGACAGATGAGCACAGCAGAGAGCCACAAAATTTCAAGACATCAACTGTTGAAGATGATCAGCCTATTGAACCTATCTCGGATATTGGCATCAACCAAATAAATGAGCTTATGTTTAGAGATTTAAAGTGACAAATGTTTATGTTGACATATGTGGACCAAACGTTGAAAATATCTGGTAAGCGGTTTTGCTTATAGCACATTGCATTGCTTGTCTGATTAGTTAAATAATTGTAAGGCTAACTCGTAATAACATCAAGGGCTCAGTAACATATATGTATGCTTTTTTCTGCCTCTACACACATAAATGAATATAAGAATTCTTTTTTTAAACCTTTGAAGTAAAGAATTTCCCTCTGCATGAGTTGGATCAGTGATATCTTTAGGATTTTTTGCATGCTTGAGGGATTAATAATATATTACATTTATACTCCTGCTAACTCAGAAGTAATTTTAAATTGAATTCTAAAAACAAACTAAAATGAGTATAATTTTGGTGGTTTTGTTTTTCTTTTTTTTTTTTGGGGGGGGGGGTTCAGGGCAGTGGAACGTTATCGAGGTTCAAGCTCAGATAATACTGAATCAAGATTACAAAAATTCAAATGCCTGACTTGGCTCTGCATCTGGTTTGGTGGAATACGCCGGCCTTTTTGGAATCATAATGTGTTTAATTTTGTGATTGAGAATGGCTGAAATTTCCAACATGGATGGTCTATCCTCCTGCTTTTCTTGAACGCATAGTAGAGCAACTTGCATACATCTCATTAGCTTATATTTTGAATTTGAATCGTCTAATGATGGATCCGCAAACTCCTTGCATTCATCTTCTTTCCACAATTAGATTTTTCATATACAGGATTTAAATCTCACTATATAACTTAGCTGGCTGCTTAATTACTTGCATATTCCAAGAGGTTGTATCCTTCATTAGCACCATAGAATTGGTTATTTCTCTTACCACTTATGATTTGTAGCAGCAGCACTCCAAAGCTATAAACATCATGTTTTCTTGAGTATACTCCTTGTTTTACATACTCCGGAGGGACATATCCACTGCCAAAATATGATTAATTTGTCAGAGTATGACCTAAATAATTGGCGAAGAACAAGAATACAGGCATAACCATATACTCACTATGTTCCTACAATCTTGCTTGTATTTGCTTCATATTCATCTGTTTGGAATATTCTTGCCATGCCAAAGTCTGAAATCTTAGGATTTAAATCTTTGTCAAGTAAAATGTTACTAGCTTTTAGATCTGGATGTATGATCGTTAGCCTTGAGTATTCTTGCAGGTACAAAAGGCCTTGAATAATTCCTTCAATGATGTGAGCACGCTTTCCCCAGTCAAGCTGCAAACTTTTCACAGGATCTGTAATGATTTGAAAGACACAGAAGAATCAATAAGCTGGTAGAAACATTATGTCCATGTTTTCAGCAGTTCACTGACTAGATTTGTTGTCATCGGTGAACTTAGTCAAACAAAAGCTATACCGAAGAGATAATAATCCAAGCTGCTATTTGGAAGGTATTCATAAATAAGCATCTTTTCTTCTCTTTTCACGCAAAATCCCATAACTGCTCAAATCCTTGGCGTGATGCTTTTGAAAGTCTCTTTACTGCAGTCTGCAGTTTCCTGTCCTGTCTTTATATGCTAAAGTCCTTGCATTTCATCTTCTTTCCACAATTCATATGCCAATTCAACAACCATATATATTTTTCAAAATTAGATTTTTCATATACAGGATTTAAATCTCACTATATAACTTAGCTGGCTGCTTAATTACTTACGTATTCTAAGAGGTTGTATCCTTCATTAGCACTAGAGCTATCAAAAGTTGACCCGACCCGAAATACCGACTCAAACCCGATTATTAACCGACCCATCTGAACCCAAAAAAAATGGTGACCCAAACCTAACCTGATCTGACCCCACCTGAAACCAACCCTAGACCCGAGTATGTGATACCCGAACCCGAACTAACCCGGAGATGACCCGACCCGAATGTAACCCTTTAATTATTGACCTGAACCGAACCCGACTTGAACCGAAATTGACCCAAACCCGTTTTTACCCGTCAAAACCCGAATTTAACTCGACTTGTTACTAACCTGACCTGAATTCAACCCGACCCGTTCCTAACCGACCCGAATTTAACCCAACCTGTTACAAACCCGACCCGAAATCAACCGGACTTGTTATTGACCTGACCCAAATTCAACCCGACTTGTTATTGAGCCGACCCGAATTTTACTGGACCAATTACTAACCCGACCCAAAAAATCAATCCGATATGTTACTAACTCGACTCGAAATCAACACGACTTGTTATTGACCCGACCTAAACTCAACCCAAATTGTACCTGACTCGATTTCAAATCACCTTAAATGCAATTTAGACCACCTTATTATTGTTGATCAAAGCATTTTGTCTAGGGAGACTAAGTCGGTCAAAGCCAGCAAAAGAAAGGAGCATCATCCTCAAATTTAAGAGTTAAATATAATATATATTTGTTAAACGGTCAAAGTAGATAATTATCTTCCTAAATTATAGACTGTAGTTCCCTAGTATATTGCCATATATATTATAGTCAAAAAAATTAATTAGCTTGATAAAAATGATAATTATCTATTTGTAGTTAGTTGAACCCGAATATGACCTTGCTTGGAAATGACCCGACCTGATTGTAACCTGCAAATTATTGACTTGAACATAACCCGACTCGACTTTGAGAATGACCCGACTTGGAAATGACCCAACCTGATTATAACCCGCAAATGATTGACTTGAACGAATCGAACTCGACTTGAACCGGAGAATGACCCGACCTAATTATAACCCCCAAATTATTAACTTGAATCGAACCCGACTAAAACCCGAGAATAACCCGACCTGTTTCTAACCTGCAAATTATTGACTTGAACCGAACCCGAGAATTACCTTAACCTGTGTACTCACCCGACCTATTGTTCACCTGGCCCAAATGTAACCCGACCTAAACCCCACCAAAACCCGATAAGAAGTATGACCTGACGTGACCCGACTCAAACATGACCCAACCCAAACCCGACCCGCATAGGTTATGGAATTAATCCGAATTGACTCGACACGAGTTGACCTGACCCACTCTTACTAACCAAAACCTGACCTGTTTACTTGAATCGACAGCTCTACTCGAAACCTCAAAAATTTCTCAAAAACCGTGGATATTAGCCTTCAATTTTGGAATTTTTTGACTTTTTCTTACTCGGAAATAAAAATTGTCGAAATGTTTACCAAGGTCCCTAATATCCTCTGGGAGTCTAATTTCTTGGGTGGAACCATCCAATTTGCCTTTAAATGACTAATTTACCAGTTTACAATTTTCATCGATTTCATTAACTCAAGTTTACCAAGAACATTTATGACAACATATAATGATCATATATGGATCCAAACGACATTATATGACCCCGAGATGTATCCTCTAAAATCTCAATGTTTTTCGACACCGGGCCTCGAAACATCTGAAATTTCTCAAAAAGCATGGATTGCCTTCAATTTTGGAATTTTTTAACATTTTTTCGTTCAAATATAAAAATTACCGAAATGTTTACCATGGTCCCAAAAACCCTCAGGGAGTCTAATTAGGTGGGTGGAACCATCCAATTTGCCTTTAAACGACCAATTTACCGATTTACATCTTGCACCGATTCCATTAACTCAAGCCTACCACGAACATTTATGACAACAAATAATGATCATTTATGATTCCAAACGGCATTATATGACCCTGATATATACCCCTTATACTTTCAAGACATTTCGACACCAAGCCCCGAAACCTTTAAAATTTTTGAAAAAGTTGTGATATAAGCCTTAAATTTTGGAATTTTTGACTTTTTTTTTTTCCGGAAATTAAAATTGCCGAAATGTTTACCGTGGTCTTCAATACCCTTTTGAAGTCTAATTGGTTGGGTGGAACCATCCAATTTGCCTATAAACGACCAATTTACCGATTTACAAATTGCATCGATTTCATTAACTCAAGCCTATTACGAACATTTGTGACAACCTATGATGATAGTATATGGTTCCAAACGACATTATATGACCACGAGATATATCCCCTTGAATTTCAAAAGTTTTTGACACCGGGCTTCAAACCCCAAATTTCTCAAAAAACGTGGATTTCAATTTTGGAATTTTTTTGACTTTTTTTGCCCGAAAATAAATATAACCGATATGTTTACCATGGTCCCTAATACCCTCTGGGGTTCCAATTGGGTGGGTAGAACCAACCAATTTGCCTTTAAACGGCCAATTTACCGGTTTACAATTTGCTCTGATTTCATTAACTCAAGCCTACCACGAACATTTATGACAAGATATAATGATGATTTATGATTCTAAATGGCATTATATGACCCAGAGATGTATCCCCTAAAATCTCATTTCTTTTCGACACGAAATCTTCGAAATTTCTCGAAAAGCATGGATATTAGCCTTCAATTTTGGAATTTTTTACTTTTTTTTGCCCGGAAATAAAAATTGCCGAAATGTTTACCATGTTTCCTAATACCCTCCGGGAAACCAATTGGGTGGGTGGAACCATCTTATTTGCCTTTAAACGACTAATTTATCGGTTTACAATTTGCACCAATTACATTAACTAAAGCCTAACATGAACATTTATAACAACAAATAATGATCATATATGGTTTCAAACGGCATTATATGACCCCGAGATATATCCCCTACAATTTCAAGGCTTTTCGTAACCGGGCCTCAAAACCTCCAAAATATCTCAAAAGCCATGGATAGCCTTTAATTTTGGATTTTTTTTTTTTTTTTTTTTTTACTTTTTTTGCCCGGAAATAAAAATTACCGAAATGTTTACCATGGTCTCTAATACCCGCCAAGAGTCCAATTGAGTGGGTGGAACCATCCAATTTGCCTTTAAATGACCAATTTATAGGTTTACAACTTGCACCAATTTTATTAACTCAAGCCTACCACGAACATTTATAACAACAAATAATGATCATATATGGTTCCAAACAACATTATATGGCCCCGTGATATATCCCCTATAATTTAAAGACTATTCGTAACCGGGCCTCGAAACCTCTAAAATTTCTCAAAAACCGTGGATAGCCTTCAATTTTGGAATTTTTTGACTTTTTTTCACTTGAAAATAAAAATTACCGAAATGGTTACCATGTTCCCTAATATCCTCTAGGATTCCAATTTGGTGGATGGAACCATCCAATTTGTCTTGAAACGGCCAATTTACCGATCTACATATTGCACCGATTTGATTTACTCAAGCCTACAACGAACATTTATGACCACAAATAATGTTTATATATGGTTCCAAACGACATTATATGACCCCGAGATGTATTCCCTAGAATTTGAATACTTTTCAACACCGGGCCCTAAAGACACAAAATATTCTTAAAAAACGTTGATTATCCTTCTATTTTTTAATTTTTGGATTTTTTTTTTTCGTTCAGAAAAAAAAAATGCCAAAATGTTTTCCATTGTCTCTAATACCCTCCGGGAATCCAATTGGATGGAACCATGCAATTTGCCTTTATACAACCAATTTACTTGTTTACTACTTGCGCCGAGTTCATTAACTCAAGCCTACCACAAACATTTATGACAACATATAATGATCATATATGGTTCCAAACGGCATTATATAACCCCGAGTTGTATCCCCTAAAATCTAAAGGCTTTTCGACACCTAGCCTCGAAATTTACAAAATTTTCTCAAAAAACGTGGATATTGGCCTTCAATTTTGGAATTTTTTTACTCTTTATCGCCCGAAAATAAAATTTGCCGAAATGTTTACCGTGGTCCCTTATAACCTTCGGGAGTCCAATTGGATGGGTGGAACCATCCTATTTGTCTTTAAACGACCAATTTACCGGTTTACAACTTGCACTCATTAATATAACTCAAGCCTATTATGAACAGCTATGACATCATATAATGATAATATATGATTTTAAACGACATTATATAACCCCGAGCTGTACCCCCTTAAAACTCAAACTTTTCGACATCGGGCCTCAAAACATCCCAAATTTCTCAAAAAGCGTGGATTTCAATCTTGGAATTTATTGACTTTTTTTCTCTCTGAAATAAAAATTGCCGAAATGTTTATTATGGTCCCTAATACCCTCTGGGATTCCAATTGGTTAGGTGGAACCAACCAATTAGCCTTTAAACGACCAATTTACCGGTTTCCAAATTGCACCGATTTCATTAATTCAAGCCTACCACGAACATTTATGACAACATATAATGATCATTTATGGTTCCAAACGACATTATATGACCTCAAGATGTATCCCCTAAAATCTCATTTCTTTTCGACACCAGTCAGATTCCTTCGAAATTTCTCAAAAAGCATGGATATTAGCCTTAAATTTTGGAATTTTTTTACTTTTTTCGGCTAGAAACAAAAATTGCCGAAATGTTTACCATGGTCCCTAATATCCTTTGGGAGACCAATTGGGTGGGTGGAACCATCCTATTTGCCTTCAAACGACCAATTTACCAGTTTTCAACTTATACCAATTTAATTAACTC